ACTTTGTACTTAAGTACTTTAAAATGCATGTACTTCTGAATACTTAAGTATTTTCAAAAGTAAGTACTTCAGTACTTTTACTTGAGTAGATTTTTGACTGAGTAWSTTTTACTTGTAGTGGAGTAGATTTGACCATGAGTATCAATACTTTTACTCAAGTACTAGAGTTGAGTACTTTGTCCACCACTGGCCATGGCTAATCATCCCTTCCTCACTGCTAGAGATGTGTGAGGTAGCGTCTGGGTTGGAGGCGCCCTCTAGTGGCAAACTTTATCACAACTCAGAGCCACTGAGACAGTTTTAAACATTTGTGTATAAAGTTGTTTTGAGTGTTTTTTTTAGTAAAAGAAAGAAATTACAAAACAAAATTTAAAAAGTATCCAACCCACAGGAAGTCACCCACAGGCTGGATGTGGCGCGGGCTGCTACTTGTCAAAGATGCGTAGTAACTAAAGGACATTTACTTTGTCACAGTACTTTTGAGGATTTTTTAATTTTACCAAGTATTTTTTAAATCCTAACTTTTACTTTTATTGTGTCGCATTCAAAACCTAAAATTGTTTTTACTTTAAAATTTAAAACTGAAATCTGACTGAACTCATCATGAAAAGAGTTCCTGCCCTCTAAAACCTGAAGTTTTGACTTTATTTAATCAAGTAATGTCGGCTGGTTCCACTGAGTAAAAATGGACTGGGTTTAGTGGTTTGTTGATTGATTCTCTGGTGTGTTTTATCTGACAGGTCACTGCCTGGTGGTGCGGGAGGGCCTGACTAATCCCTGGATTCCAGACAACTGGTCCTGGGGGGGTGTGGTGTCGGACCACTGCCCRGTGGTGGCAGAGTTTTACATCCAGCCGTCCTGTAAAGAGCTGAGCAGAGTGGCAGCTGTGGACAGAGGAGAGGTTCAGCCCAAACATGAGCGATGACAGCAGGACCAGTCATTCCCACAGACCATGTCTGGACCCACCTGAACCCAGACCAGCCTCACCCTGGACCTATCAGACCCCAGACCTTTGTGATCCTGGATCTTCCTCAGTCTCAGTTTGCTGTGGAGCAGAAAATGATAAGCCATAAAACGTGTGGGTGTACACAGGAATTAAAAATGTGCCAAACATTTTAAACGTGGAATTAAATAAAGAGAGAGATTAATAAATACTGTGTCTTCTAATCTGATATTCCCGAGCCAGACTCTCATCTGGACTGGACCAGAGGACACGAGTCTCTGAGTGCAGGCTTTCAGCTAAATGCTAATGAGAATAAAAATCATTAATATTTTGTGGGTCAGAAGATTAAAAGTTTGAGAACCACTGGCTTAGAGCACCGTGCAGGTGCCCCTTGGGGCTCTGCGCTCGGGATTCCTCTCAGGCCCTTGGGCTCTG